GGGGGGGGTTCCCCCTTTAGGGGGGCCCTTCTTTTTCTCTTCTTCTTCTTGTGATTTTAGCTATCCTATGTACTTCTCCTCCGATACAATTCTATCGAAGGTGCATACAATGTTGTGAACAAAGTACCTTAGGCGAATATTTAGGACCGGACCGGACCTGAGAGGATTATTTGAGGACCGGACTGAATAGTGGAATACAAAATTAAGGAGTTAGAAATGATGACGCATACGAAACCATAGAGACGGGTATTCTCACATAACTTGATGGTAGAGACGTTCCAACATAGGATCGTGATAAATAAATATAGCAGTGGCGCCATTCCCAATGGCACTACTGACTGAGCTCACTTATTTCAGACTTAACATTCTCTATTTTAAAAGTGTTACTTGGTTTTGACCACAATGTATCACAAAAGATATTTATCACAAATCGCCCATTTTGTCGGCAGCATGTGAGTTGGAGGGCTTTCTCAAATTATAACTCTCCAAACCTGGGGTGTACTATAGTTAAATAGATGAGCTTTCGGAGTCCAGTATCCGACGCCAAAGCAAGGAGCTTCATCACTGGGCTGTCACCTTGGCGACCAGCAAAATGGAGCGTCTTCGCTACTTGTGCTTCCTAAGAAGCATATAGCTCCGTCTGCAGTGCTGTTGCTAGGGCTGCGCCTACTGAAGTGCCTGTTGAGCTTGTGAAGCTTGTCTGCCGCCTTACGCCCTATGCCTCGTGAAAACAGCAATATTCTGAGGGATTGTGAAGCAGAGACACAATTGCTTATATATAATCCTCTCGGTACTGTTTTCGCCGAAGAGATTTTATTTAGTGTTTCGTCGTCGCTCTATTAGAAACTATGGTATGATTCGTTGGGGCGAATCCGAGAGACTCATTAAATCCTATCTTTAGAAGAAGAAAAGAAAGAAAAACTCTTGATGTCCATAGTTATTGCTTTAACCAATAACTTGCTACTTATCAAGAATTACCGACTAGCCTTCATCAGACTGGCACATCTGGTTGGATGAACGGAGGATAAATTAAGCAACGCTAATAAGCTATCTCGCTACCGAAATATTCAGATATAAATAGATTTGGAAAGTAAATATATATTTTTTGTAATAGAACTAGACCATATCTTATATTTGGTATTTTACCGGGGCGTTTTAATGGCCTTGTCCAAATATCTGATATGTAATAATAAAAAAGGTATTTATTTAATAAAAACCGTTAAAAACCATTTAAGGAAAACTTAGTGTACGTACTTTTACGAGTACGTTTATATTACAAGATTCTAATGTGGAAGCCCGGCTTTTACAATATCACCTAATGCACCTCGCAGAAACGATGCAAAATCTACATCATCGACGTTTACCTCTGCGGACGCTATTTTGCGCCACTTGAAGAAAGCTGCAGGTAGTGCTTGCCGTGGTAGTAAGAAAACATACTCAGTGAACATGTCAGCTCACAGTACTGTGTATCTTTGCAGCACTCCCTGATGAGGGATCGACAAGTCATAGTGGCGAGTAGTTACCAGTGATCGGGAGCAGTCGCTAAAACACTCAGGCGGTAAATCACGCCCCGTAGCATCCCATAATGACGCGCCGAAGAACATTCGACAGATTTGTCCATGCACCGCCTCCCACTGATCAGGTTCGATGCCGGTGCAGTCGCGAGTCGTCATACGGATTGCCAGGGCATTCGGCGTGGGTTGAAGGAGTTGGCCCTTCAAACCCTCAAACTGTTCCATCCCTTGCCTGGAAATCGGTACCGATAATACCGTAGGCATGCTAGGATAGTAAATTGTACTCGATGTACAAAGAAATGAATAAAGGGAAATAAAGATAAGATGTGATTCGAGTTTGGCTCAGGTACTCTGATACTTCGAATTTCTTCCTTTGAAATTGTGAGTAATGTGTAGGCTACTCCTAGGACAAACCAAAGGAGGAGCCTACTTTGCTGTGTGGCATATATATAGGTTAAGCCTACGTCACATTATTCTGAACATGTGTGCGGGGTCGGCGAGTCTCCACCTCCAGGTTACATTTTGGTTCTAGGGTTCCGTAACCCTGCAGAGGTTCGGTACTCTAGGGCCTAAGCTGGGGTTCCAAACATATTACAAAAAATAAATACAACAACATTACATTTTTAATTTTGATATTCTAATAAAACAAGTTGATATGGATTGGATAATATCCGCGATAGTTTGAAAGGCGCAAAATTGTACCAATGATATACGGCCATTTCAGAGTGATATATATATATATATATAATTAATTATTATACGTACATACTACCAACACTACCAATCTACCAAATGGATTTTCAGCCATATCGTCTTTAAACCGACTGGTGCGTTAGTGTTATTGCGTGATGATAAAACCATCCCTCTTTGAATCGGTATACATCTCCGGTGTTTCTAAGCCGTGTCTCTGGTAATGCATACACCTCACACCACCATCAAACATATCAGGCAACATAGCAGTTCTACTGGATTCAAATTCTGTTGTAGCCGAAACGCGTATGGATGCCCACAGCGTGGCCTGTAAACAATTATACACACCTCACCCTATAACACTAGATAGACGCCGGTTTAAGTACTAGTCGTAATCCTGCCGTTGCTTTTCGTTTCATGACTTACGCAGACCATCATACAGTATCTTGTGCAACACGTGCTCGCGCTTGTTTGATGTACAACAATCGCTCGTACTTTATCATATCTGTTGAGTTCAAACATATTCGACAGGATACTCACTACCATGAAGGTCAAGTCGCCTCCCAGGGATGCAGACGTGCGCACTTCTGAGCTGCCGCAGCGACCTGCAATGCGTAGTGAAGTCGAGGAGAATGCCACAGAAAATGTATACGACAGCACACTACACACACTCTCGCATAGTTTCAAAGCTATGTGCACCTTAGAGGGTGCCTCAGACAGTTGCATGCTGATAGAAAGCACTGAAATCTCGCACGGGCACGGACATGGCGATATGCCAACACAAGCGCATACACACACACAGGATGGCGTGGATTCAAAGGCAAGATCCTCTAAGGGCAGTCTATTGAGTATCCGTCTTGTAGTTAATAGGGATCACATCCTCACCAGTTACGACCGCGCAACAGATAGTACTACTGTAGTGCCGACAGGCGGCGCTGGGCATACACTACCACCAAACAGGGCTACACCTATGCAGAAAACTCGAAGTTTTGGCGACGATGCGAATCGATGGGGTACGTGTGTTTAAGTCCTCGAAACGGTTTTACAGTATATTTTCGTCGATATATATATATATATATATATATATATATATACAATAATATATATATAACACATAATATA